TTCTTTTTCGCGAAAACTTCATTATATATCATAAAAATCGTTCTGGTTTTTATTTTCACTCCCGTATCTTTTTTTTTTTTTAAATACATACATTACTTTCGTAATTTTCCATCATCTCTCACTTTTCTCCCCTTTTCCTTTGACTAATTGATTACTGTTTAATTTTTATTGATTTATTAACCTTTTCTTTGTCATGAAATATAATTCTGGACGACAACAGCATTATAATAGACAATTTGAAAATAACAGTAATCCTGCATCATCAACAAGAGATCGTCAACCCAGACCAACGTTGATTCGTTATCGCATAGGGCTCTTTGATGGCTTGTTAAATGACGACCAAGTGGAACGTGCAAATGCATTAGATAACATAACAAGATTAGTAAATACTTGGGCAAAAGAGTGCTATCCTGTCGAAAGTTCAACAGCAGGAACTGTAGTGTCAGCAACAGCAACAAATGGCAAGAGAAGCTTGTCTAATGCATCCTCTCCAATGTCTGATAATAGTAATAACGTGTCGGTGACTCCAATGTCATCACGAATATCTTCGGGATCTGATGATAATAATCTTGCATCTTCACTTTTAAACTCTCCTAATTCTCCTTTATTCACTGACGGATCGGTGTCTTCTTATGCTGCTTCACCGGTCGTGGATAGCGGATGCGGTGGTATGCCTACTATCCCTAGTATTCATAATGTTACAAATGCTAGTGATGGTGATAAAAGTGTTAATATCAACCAAGTTGATAATCTTAGTTTCCAACATGGATACGTAAATCAAGAGAATGCTACCGTACCAAAACGGAACGGGATTCCGGATGAACTACCTACTTATGATGGTTTCAGATCATACGGTAGTTATTCTCAACAATTTTCTTCTCATCAACAACAACGTAGAAATTCCGCTGATGATAGCGATGATTCAGAGATCTCTGAGGAAGAAGTAAAGGAATCTTTAAGATTACATATTTTGACAATGTTACGAATGTCTATTGATTGCCCTTTCCCCGACGTTAGACTTTCTTTCGACAAGTGTTTAGATAACCTTAGGGTAAGATATTATCATCGTATTTTTTTTTATATTAGCCTTTTAATTCATTATATTTTATTTTTGTTTTTCAAATCGTTGAAATCATTGGAACTTAAAATATAATATATAACTGCGCCACGATTCGTCATTGTTTTTCATTTATAATTAAATTTTTATATTTTCAATGAAATTTCGTATTACAATTTATAAAATACATATACATACATACATTTATATGTATGTAATGTATATAGTATGGGAGTAATTACTATTAAATGGTAATATAATAATAAAGATAGGTTGGATTGATTTAAACTTAATAAAAGTAAGTTACCAAAAAACTTTTATTTCGCGTTTCTATTTGATTTTAAATTGAATTTGGTTTGTTTTACTTTTATTGTCAACTAGCAATTTACCTTTTTATCTTTAATACTTTAATATTTACATATATATATATAAAAAAGAACATGCACAAATTTCTCACAATAAGTTTACACTATCATTTTATTCAGTGTAATGCTTCGGAAATGAAGTGGCCCTTCATATTATTCTTTCGATTTATAAAGTGAGGTTATTAAAAAAAAATTAAAGCTACAAAAATAATAATGAAATGGCTCCATGGTTCATTTCGAATTTATATTTTATTCATAAAAGTTGGATCAAATGAAACTAAAATATAATTGTACGCGTAATTTTTTTATCAAAATAATAATAATAATAATTATAATTATTATTATTATTGGTTATCTCGCGAGAATTTTCTTTAGAAAAAAAAGAATTAATTATCGATTTCTTTACTTCAAAATGATAGTAATTTGTCTCTTTGTTTCAAAACAAATCATTCATGTAAAAATTTGTCCTTTTACTTTTACTTTTAATAGATGGCAGGTGTTCCGGTACCGGTGCCAATATACCCATCTCCATCTCTCTATATTGCACCCGAAGATATACTAACTCTTGAATGGTCACCGGAAAACGCGAGCAATAATACTTGCACATCTCGGTCCATAACTCCTCCTCGATGTTCGTCATCTTGTTCATCCCCTTTATCCATATCACTTTCTGAGATATCTCAATTTCCACAACCATTAACTTCATCTACGCCTTCGTGGCCTTTACCAAAGGGTAGACAACCTGATCCTTTGGTTAAAAATTTGTTGAGTGATACTTTTATTAATTTAGGAAGATTAAGTCATTTTTATCGAGTTTTGGCTTATTTTCCTGGCTTTATGGAAAAATATCAAACTTCCTATAATATCATCGTTAAAGGTCCTATTGGTCCCGTACCTATTAGTTGGAGATTTTATATTGGAATTATGGTAAGTTTCTTTTTTTTTTTATCGAATTATGGGTATCGGAGTATTTCATATCTTTAAAATAATTTTTTTTTTTAAAAAAAAAAAATTTGTTTACCTTCTGACGCGCTTTTCAGGCTGCATCACAACATAAATGCCAATACATTGTCTCAAAACTTACAAGCGATTTTCTAATAAACGGAGGAGACGCGAATTGGTTGTTAGGTCTTCAATACGCACCACAAAAAATTCGTAATTTGGCCACATTAAATGCTATTTTAGCACATCAACCATGGCGTCTTCAAGCATCACATATTGGAGCATTGGTTAGAGTCTTACCAAATAATTGGACAATTTCCGAGATTGTGCATGTTATTATGATATTGAGTACCTTTCATAGTTTAAGCAGTTATGTGTTGGGATGTGGAATTGTACCAGAATATGATAGTATTGGGGGTTATTATGAACTATCACCTTGGGTCTCTACTACTGTTGAAGGTAATTCTATTGGGATTATGGATTCTTCGGAATCAATTTCTCCGAATGTAGGATCCGGGTTGGGTATAACCGAAGAACAAACCGAAGAAGAGAAACCTAAGGATGATGATGATGGAAATAGTGGGAAGACACCAGCCGAAAATGACACAAAGGAACTGACTCCAGATGTGGAAATTCAGAGGCATACTGATCAGCTGATTAAAAGATTAAAGAATAAACCCGAATTACAGTTATCATCATCCACTTTTAACAGTGAAATTTCTGGATTCGAGAATATTGAAGAGGAGAGTGAGTATCCTATATATACGTACGAGTTGTTTTTAACGATTTTCTCAACATTTCACGCGACTTTTTTTTTTAAAAAAAAAACAAAAACAAAATGTATTATTAGCATTTACAAATGATTCTCCGACAAGTGACATAAATTTCTCTCCATTCCTTCAACAATTTTCCGCGACCGCTAACGCCACTTCACCCACTTTAGTACATTCGTTATACAATTTACCATCCTCAAATTTATCCGCTGAACATTTTTCAAGATTTCTTGATCCATCCGTGGATACGCAATATGCTTACACGGATTTTGTTGTTAATAGTTCTGAATATAGCGTATTTAAATTACAAGATTATGGATGGGATCATGGTGTGTCGATGGCGAATAGATATTTCTCGGGTGCCGGTGATGTGTTAGATGCCGAATTCTCTAAAGTTTGGGATAATACTGATTATTGGTATATATATATTTTTTCTTTTCTTTGATCTTTGAGTAGGATACATATAAAATCAATTGTTCAATTTTGCACTTTTTGGCATATTGCTTGCGCATTTATAAATTAACGATATCCTTTATTATAATAATTTATAGTTTATTTCATTCATACCAATCTTCAAATATTGATACAAGACCGTTACGACAAGCAATTTGGTTTTATGTACAAAGATTATCCGGATTACTAAAGGATGATTATGATTATCGTGACATTAACACATTTCTTAGTAATAAGTTCAAAACGTATCTCAAGAAGGTTAGTAAAAAAGGTTACATTAATTAAAATGATCTTTTGTTACATATTTTAACGTGAGGGCTTTTTTTCCATTCCGTATTAAAAGGTTTGTTGTAAACCCGAAGATATTGAATATAGTGATTGGAAAAATGTAGGGTTTCAATTACGTGCCGAAGAAAAATGTCACGTGAATTTGATTGCTGCCGAAGCACGTAAACAAGCGGAATTAATTTATGGATTATCATGCGTTATGAAGTGGTATGGGAAGCAAAGCGGAGATTATTCTATTGATGAGGATGAACCACTTGCTAGTGAATCATAGAATAAAAAAGTAACGAATCGGCCTGTTAAAAACATTTTAGATAGAAAAAAAAACTATTATGAAAATTCATTTTTCCAAATCAAATCAAAAAAAAAAGAAAAAAATCGCGGATAAATTAACTCGAATTATTCGAATTATTCTTTTTTTTTTTTCGCAAAAAATTTTTGCTTTAAAAAAAAAAAAAAAAAAACGTTAAAAAAATTTTTTTTAGATTTTTTAAATACACAAGAGAGTTGAGTTGGGCTTTATTATTTTCTTATATTTAAAAAAGAAAAAAAAAAAAATTATTATACCTTCCCAAAACATAAAAGTTTTACCTATGCCAAAAACCTTTTTTTACTCGTTTGATCGTTTGTGATACATTCAAATAGATTTTTCCTTGGTAATATAGTAGTAATATATAGCAAAAATTCAAAAAAAAAAAAAAAATTTTTTACGATTTATTTCGCAAATTTATTTTAAAAACTTTTAAGCATAAAATCCTAAAAAAAATAGTTCATTTGTATAAAAAATATAAAAAAGCGGTAAATACACTTTATGTACTTTTTTTTAACAAAAAATAAATAAATATAAAATTCGTTTCGAATCGAATCCTTTTTCGCGTTTTTTAATCACATATACGATATAGGTGCAACATCATCACTAAAGGAGGATGTTTATTCATTAACTCTATTTGGTTACCTTTGTTGATTGAATGAATCGTTTTACCGGATTTGGATGCGATGAAATTCTCTTGGCTATCCTGGGCTTTTTTATTTGGAACACAAATAAAAACCTGCTTTTAGGGTATTCAAATTTCAATTTTTTTTACGATAAAATTTCACTTCTTTTATATATTAACCAAATCGAATATGCCTTCAGTTACTATTCTGAAACCTGAAGATAAGGGAATAATAAAGAAAGCCCTTTCTAAGAAAGAAAATGTAAGGGAGAGAGAGAGAATTTTTTTTTATTTCTTTCTCTTGAAGACTGCTGTGATAAATTCAAAACTAAATTATTATTTAGAAAATCTTGAATGCAACGGTTGCCCGGCTTTATGTTGCATATCCTAATGCGAATGTTTGGACTTATACCAAAATCATGGGAGCGGTTGTTCTTGTCAAGGATAATTCAAAGAATTCGTTCTTTTTTAAAATTGTTGATTTAATGGCAAGTTCAATTATCATTACTCGAAAGTTTTTTTTTACAGTCATTTTAATTAATATCATTCTAATGAATTTTAGGGAAATCGCGGTATTTTATGGGAACAAGAACTCTATAAAAGTTTCCAATATACTGTTGAACTTCCATTCTTTCATACTTTTGCCCTTGATGTAAGGATTTAAACACACTCATTTTAAATATGATTTGTTCATTGTTAATTCATTTAAAATTTTTTTACTATAGGAATGTCTTGCTGCTTTCTCCTTTGCTGATGAACAAGATGCCAAAACCTTTCACAAAAAAGTTACAAATAGGGAAAAGGTTTCTTCAAAGAGTATGTTGATAACGTTGTTATAAAATGTAACTTCATCATTTCATTATAAGAACGTTATCTTAAATTAATTTAATTGAATTTATTTATACAAAGCTAATAAGAAATCTCAAAAAGAAAATAAGAATAGTGGTGGCGGATTATTTGGTATGAACAAGGTTAAAAATAAAATTGATAAATCAAAAATTAGTGGTCCTACAGAATTTAGGTAAGAACTTATCCTTTTTATTTGGATGTGATTGGATTAATTATTAATTTTATTCTTATTAACTTTTGATTGGCAAAATTCGTAGACATCTTGGACACATTGGATATGATGATCAGAAAGGATTTGATGTAGGTTAATCGGTGAAATTGAGTTATATGTGATAAGATGTGTTAATTCTTTATTTTACTTTATTTGTTTATATAGGTGCAAAACATTGATCCTGAATGGAAAGAATTAATCGCTCAATTAGGAGAGTTGGGTGTTAGCGACGTAATTATGTGATTTCATTAACCTTGCTTCTTATGTTTATAACATTTCCTCAAAATTAATTGATTCACTTTTACTATTCCTTTTAGGAAGATATAGAAAAAAATGCCGATTTCATTCAAGACTTTATGAAAAACAATAATTTGAAATCAGCCGTTAGGAATGGTCGTAAACCAACCAATGCCCTCGAAGTACCAGGTAGGCGTGCTGCGCCACAACCACCCTCGCTATATCCCAAAACCAAGAAACAACAACCACCACCACCACCACCTGCTCGTAAATCTATGATGTTTCCTACAACTCCAACTCGTGACTCGATTCAACCATCATCTCCGAATGCAAAGCTTTCTATTTCTCCGCCAGTATCACCCAGAGTTTCTCCAAGAGTATCATCTCCAATTTCTGTTCCTCAATCACCACCTCCGCCTGCCCCACCTACCCTTCCTTCACGTTTTCCTTCACGTTCTCCTGCTCAACAACCCGTGATCGCACCTCCACCCCCACCACCTCCTGTTCGTTCTCTTCTTTCTAATAATGCACCGCCACCGATTCCACCTGCGAGAGTGACCGCACCTCCACCACTTCCACCAACTCGTAATACAAATGCGTATGTTGCACCAATATCAGTACCACTAAAAGAAACACAGAATGAACAAAAGAAATTAGCACCACCACCACCTTCATTTACTCCAATTGGGGAATCGGTAACGCCACCACCTCCACCACCACCACCAACTATGGGAACGGCACCTCCTCCACCACCACCACCACCACCAACCATGGGAACGGCACCTCCTCCACCACCACCAACCATGGGAACGGCACCTCCTCCACCACCACCACCACCACCAACCATGGGAACGGCGCCTCCACCACCACCACCACCACCAACTATGGGAACAGCACCACCTCCACCACCACCAATGCAATCTCTTTCACGTGAATCTCCAAGCGTACCTCCGCCAGCTATGGATGGTAGAGTTAATTTAATGGAAGCTATTCGTAATAGGGGTGGGGTTAGTGGTGGTGGGTTGAGAAGTGTAAGTAAAGAAAGATTACATACAATTTTTCTTTTTTTTAAAAAAAAAAATGCTTGACTAAAGTCAAAATTTTTTTTAGGTTGGTGAAACTGTACGTCAATCAACTATTACTGAAGACTCTTCAAGCTCAAATGGAAATGATGATACAAATTTAGCGAAAACTTTAGCCGACGCATTAAAGAAACTTAATAAAGATATGGGAAGTGACGATTCCGGTAAGTCATCACGAATTCACGGGACCAACATTTAATCTTTATTTTAGTCATAATTTCTAATTTATAAATTATTTTCAGAAGAAGACGATGATGATGAATGGGATACGGATTAAATTAAATTTTATATCTTAAGAATTTTTATAATTAACTTTGTTTCATTAATTAAATGGATTGTGATAATGTAATTATTATTATTATTTTGTAACTTTTGAATCACTTTTCTTTAAAGGGTGACAAAATAAATATATTAAAAGAAATAAATTCCAATTCAATGTTATTTAATTGATGATCAAGTTCAAAATTTGCTGCGTCTCTAGTCGTTTGGGAAAAATAAATGGGATGACTGCTTGGAAAATCAGGTTCTTGGGATTTTCTAACCGATTTTAGTCACTAAAAAAAAATTCTCAGGAACCAAATTCTCCTTAATTCCAAAACCCCATAGTATAATAATAGGTATTGGAAATGATCAGCATTCATTAACCTTAATTGAACGAATCGATTGGGTGATGAGACTTGAGGCGCGTGAAAATTGTATTATACATGGATGGCATGATTTTGCATGACGTTTTATACAAAAATCATAGTTGCTATGGGCTGATTTTTTTAAAACAAATTCAACTCGATAAACCCATATAAAATGTGACAGGTTTCCTTTGATTCTTTTAAAATCAAAAATTTATTCATATTATTTGAGAAAAAAAATAATAAATAATCATGTCTACTAATACTGAAACAACAACAACTGCAACCATTACCACTACAACTCCAGTGTCACAAGACCCTGAATTTCAAGTACCAGAAGACACCGTTCTTACAACTACGCAAGATGCAGAATCACAATCACCAATTACTCGTGTTATTGTAATTGCTATTGACCATTCAACTCATAGTCAACAAGCATTCTATTGGGCGCTTAAGAATTTCTTACGAAAGGAAAACGATTTGGTAAATTCAAATTTTTTTTTTTTTTTTCTTTGAGGCATTTTTTAATTAAATAAAATTCTAAAATTTATTGTAGGTTGTGTTGGTCAACGTTCGATCGATTCCGACAGTTCCTGGTCCATATGGTAAGTTGCCAGGTCCTTATGGTAAATAAAAAAGTGAAAATGAATTGACCAAAATTGGGTATCATTAATGTAAATTCATTTATGAAATTTTTCAAAGCAGCAATTGGAGCTAGTTATATGGATTTCAGTGAAGTCGTAACAAGTTTGGAAGAACAGGTGATTTTTCAAAAACGATCGATTGATTGTAGATCTTTTCAGAAATATTACTAAATTTTTTTTGACCTGACTTTATGTAGCATCGACTTAATAGTCATGCATTACTACAAGAATTTGCTTCGAAATTAAAGGCTCAAAATGTTCGTTTCTTCTCTTGAATTTGTTGAAAATAATATATATATTTTTTTTTTTTCGAAATTTTAATTTATTTTTTATCCATTTTTTTTTAGTTTGCGTGCAAAGCTATAGCAATGAAAGGTGATGCACGTGATGAAATTGTTCGAAAAGTGGCCGAGCTCAACGCTGACGCATTGGTGATCGGGTCACGTGGCTTAGGAGCATTAAGACGGTAATTGTTGTTGGTTTTGTTTATATGTTATTAAAGGAAAATTTTAACCCGTTTTCGTTTCTTTTCGTTTCATTTCTTTTTAATAGCACACTTTTAGGTTCAGTAAGCGACTATTGTAGTCATAATTGTCATTGTTCTGTAATCATCGTAAAGGAACGAGTTGATCAAAAAGATCAAAAACAGTGATCTTCGCGAAATGAAAAAAAAATCGTGGTTTTTTCTTTTATTATCAATTGCTTTTAATTCTTGCTGATGTAAAAACTTATATTAATACATAATTTGTTAAATAAAAATAACACAACAAAAAGTTGTGATTAAATAAAATATTCATAATTTTATTTTGCTATCGGAACAAATAATTTAACCCGATCAATGTATTATATCACATGTAAATTGCCATCCCAATTCACATTTGCCTTTACTACATAATTCAATTACAGATTCTTTACCAATAATCGTCAATTCATTGCAAATTTTTAAGGAGTTTAACATTAAAAATATGGACCAAAGTTTAAAAGAATTTTTTTTTAAAGTTTCTAAAAAATCTATTGAACTTGGGCAACACCTGCCCATATTTAAAGGCTGACTAGCTTTATTCTGCATAATTGGTAATTGAGTTCCGCTAGTAAGATTCTACCAAAGATAATTGTGATAATGAAGAGGATAAGTTCCTTTTTCTACTTTATATTCAGCCTCTAGAATTAATATTAAATGTAACCATTTGTTCCTAAGAAACTGTAGACGACAAAGTTCGGGCACCTAAGATAGGTTCATCTAGGGTGGTTACCAGGTGCAAAACTCAGTAATTCTCTTGCGATAAGCGGCTCGTCCCGTGGTTCTTCCTCTTATAAAATCAGACTATTTGACGAGGATGATATTGGATGAAAGTCACTATATTGACGATCTTATGTACTCTAACAGATTCAGTTCGAATTAAATTTTTTTTTTAATTCATTTCTAAAATGGTTCACATTACATAAATATTAAAATTGTAAAATTCGGGGTGCAGAAATTTCGCGTCTGATGTCACTAATATATTTCTAATGCGATATTTAATCTGAAATAGGGTGGCCCATTTTCTGCTGCGCTAAACTCAAATTATGCCTGCTTTATAGTAAGATATGCTAATATATGCGAAAATTTTTTATAAAATATGCTTCGTTTATTTTTTTTTTTCAAAAAATGCTAAAAAAATGCGATAATTACTTTATTTAAAAT